TTTTTCTTGTTGAGTATCATGTTTGTTTTCAAAAATTTAAAATGTATGAGTTTTAAGTTAGACTTTGTCTTTCAACTGCATGTGTGTTTACTTGTTTACTGACCCATGATCTGTAGGAAGTAAAAATAATGTTCCAGGTTAATGGTATTTCTAGATGACATATAGTGGAAATTATTTATGCACATTGGGTTACTTCTGAAAATCTCATTTTACTCTGTGCCTGAGAACAATAGAATTTCAATTCTCATTGAATAAAATTTGTAAAATTTACATATGCTTAGAATAAAAGGATAATTGAAAAATGAGGGTATTAAATGATACCATATTAAGATGTAATAGGAAAGTATATAATTTTGGAGAAGTGATATAAGTAACTGGTCAGATGTTGAAGGTGCAATGTGAGGAGAAGAGAAATTTTAAGGTTTCCCAGAGAATTAGTTTTTTTTTTTTTTCATTCAGTCAGCTTGAATATATAGGAATTTGGGCATTTTAAAAAACACACCGTGGCTTTCAGAAAAATTACCTTTTTTAATAGACTACTACTACATAAACCAGAAAACACATACTGATTGAACTTCAGATTATTGATTTTTACTCCTTTAGCACCAAGGAAAATGTTTAACATTTATATTAATTACAAGAAATAAAGATGAAGTATTTCTTAGTGTGATATTGAAAATATTTCCCATATTTCCCTTTAAGGGGAGTGGATCCTGGCCAATCTGTTCTTTCTTTATGGGTAGGGATGTGTGTGGTGTTTGGCATGGTTATAACTGTAGGTATTCAAAATTGAGAATTGGAATAGGGGCAATTTGTTTTGTATAACTGAGGGAGGGGAGTAGATTTAGAAGTCTGTCTGGATGGAATGGAGGCTGCAAAGAAACCAAATAATGAGCTAGAAAAGATGTAGGAGAACAGGAGAGAAGAACTCCTAGTTTTGAAGTAGCCTAGGAGACTTAGAGAGCAGACATATTTGGTGGAGATTTGATGAATGTTCTCTATAGAATCTTATGTAAATTTTGGACTATTCATGAACATTTTTGATGTAAGCAGGCTATTATGGAGTGAATGCAGAGGGGTTGAGCCCTCTGCTTACTGGTGAGCATTGGCCTGTGAGTTAATTTACTAGGAATCTGGGTCACACTAGACTATAAGGTTTGATGAGGGAAAAATTTTGTAGACTAAAAAAGCACTGATTGTATTATAGTTGGTCCAGCTTTGACCTAAATTGGTGGGTGAAACTTTAAGGATTATTGCATAGCCTCAAAGCAATTCCCCAAATATTTGTTAATTACTTTAGTGGTTTTAACATATTTCCTAACTTCCTTCCATATTCTCCCACTGGGAGGTAGATCTTAATTCTTCTCTCCTTGAATATGGCCTAGACTTATAACTCTCTTCTGAAAAGTACAGTATGGAAGGGAAAGAATTCTTACTATGTGGCAGGGGACGTTGGAAGATTCCAACCCATCAAGTGGTCAGAGTTAGCATCAATCATGAGTTGTGTTGATATCATGTTCCCACTGTATGATGCAGTGAGAGGAGCATTTACTTCTGGCATCTCCTTACCACAAAATGGATGATCCCTGTCTAATCATGAGAAGACACCAGACAAACGAGGGACATTCTACAAAATATCTTACCTGGAGATATCTGAAATATATCTTCAAAAATGTTGAGGTCATTATGGCTAGAGAAGATTAAGAAACTTTCTTATTTCAGAGTAGAATGAAGAGATCAACAGATTTAGTATTGTGGGTTCTATCTTGGGACAAAAATTTGCATTTGATAGTTGAATAAAATCTGTAGGTAAGTGTTTTTTTAATCAATATTGATATCTTAATTTCGATAAACATACCATAGTTCTTTAAGATACTAAATTTAGTGAAAACTTAAGTGAAGGGTTTATAGGCATGCTCATCAGTTATACTTAAGAACCATTGTGCAAACTTAGCTATTTAAAAAAAATAGTTAAATTAAACTTATTCAGATTTTTTTTTCTGAAGAAAGACTTAAATGATTAATCATGAGGATATTATTAGTTCTTTGAATTAAACCCAAATACAAATATTTATTTTCCAACATCACTCTACCATGATAATTGTTTTTCCAGAAAGATAGAAAGCTTGGTGTTTTGAGATCTTATAGAGATTATAAGATGTGAGAAATCTAGAAAACTTGTATGCATGTCATGAACACAGTTGGCCAGTTGCAAAGGGAAGTGGTTATTCAGGTTATAAAGGGATATTTATTCATTCATTCAATAGCATGTGTTTACTGTCTGTGCCAGGTATTGTGTTGGAAGTAAAATGTGTTTATGACAGATGAGGTCTCTGGCCTTCTGAAGCTTACACCATTGTGACACTCAAGCTTTTGTTTTATTATTATTCTTTGGAAATTATCATTCTTTGGAAGTGTAAAGATTGTTTTGAATGTCTTATCTAAGTAAGTAAAAATAGTCATCTAAATGAATTAAACATTTGTATTCATTTAATCAAAGCAAAATGTGCACTTGGGAATGTTAATATATATTTGTATTTTTTTAATGTAGGATATTATAGAATTTTTAAAATGTAATTTTGTACATCATGTTACAGGAACAGAAATGTATTAAATTCCAATTAGCAAATGGAAAAATGTTTTCACTGGAAAAATTTTAAGTTTAAATTCTTAAGTAAGTAAAACCCTTAGAGTTGCAACATGAGGTTAAGTCAAGCTTTAAAAACTTAGCAGATGATTTCTTTTTCTCTTGCTCTTCTAAGAAGAGGTAGGAGGAATCTGGAACATGAAGGGATATGCAAAGTGATACAGAAAACTTAGTCTGATAAAATTTATCAACTGCTGAGGAAGCCTTCCTGATAATAGTCCCTCACTAGAAAAACCCAGGCTTGATTTTTAGTTCAGTGAACAAATATTAAAAAGAGAATGAATTAAGTTTAACTCATAAGAAACTGTGCCCTGAATCAAGCTATAAAATAGCTTGAAATTTTATAAAGTGAATAGATCAATAATGTAGAAACAACTTTATATCTTTTTTCTTTATATAGTCTCATATGTATGCATCTACACACACACACACAGTAGGGAAAGACTGGAGAAGTATCAAAATAATAAAGATATCAGTATTAGTTTTTAAGTTTCAAAAATAATTTCCATTCAGGAAAATTTTACAAATACATCTACTATCCAAGACTAAATATGTAAATTCTGCTTTCCCTGAGAAAAAAGCTCTCAAAATCATTTCATAACTACCTGAAAAGCATGTTTTAAATACTTTATCACTATGACCAAGTAGTAATAGTAGTTGCGTTTTTTTTTTGTTTTTAAAGATTTATTTATTTATGCATACAGAGCTGGGGTACAGGCCAGAGGCTCAGGGGTGGTGAGAGGATTCACCAGAGACAGAGTGGGGAGCAGAACAGACAGATTCATGAAGTACATTGCTGAGGGGAGCAGTGGGTGGGTAAAGTGACCCATGCCATGTGGGTCACCTCTAGGGTGGTGATTGAACTCATGCTGAAGTAGCTTTAGCTCCTTAGTGCTGTGCTTTAACCTGTTGCACCACCAGGGAGGGCCCAAGTAGTTGCCTTTTAACTTATAATTTAGTATGTTACAAGTATTACATAATTTAGTCTTCATAGATACTCTTAAGGTTGATAATGCTATTTCAACATGGAGAGAGGCAGAGTCACTGATTAAGAGTTAGATAGTCTTAGTCTGTTTCTTCTTTCTGCCATCACAAGTAACCTTAGGCAAATTATTCAACTCTGGTATCCCATTTTTGTTCAAAGGAAAAAAACGGGCTTAATGGAATTATCACAGTGTTTAAATTTTTATATTCACTATATGTAAATATTAACATATGTAGGGAGAAGAATGCCTGGATACAATGAACACTTTAAAATATTAAACTCAAAAGCTGTTTTTTATTCCTCTGCCTTTTTTTTTTAATGCACAATTGCTATTTTACTACTAAGAGTGGGAGCTATGTGTGAAGGAACTGTAATATAGAGTAGAGGCCATGTGCAGTTTAGAACATAGTGCCTGGCTGACACTATTAAATGCATTTTGGAAATATTTGTTTGGTATATAAATTAACAAAATTGTATGTGGCTGGTTGTACTTGCATCAAAACAGTTTTTAGCATGTTTTGATATTTGTCTAAAAATCATTTTTCATTTGAGCAATGTAGATTTTTTTGGAAAATACTTCTGGCAATTTGGCTTTTTCCAATTTGTTTAGCTTCTGCACATCTTACTAAGTTGAAATGCTAAAATTGTCGAAAATTTTTCAAAGAAATGGAATAACTGTTAAGATGTTTTGAAGGACTGGTCCAAGTATAGTTTTTTTTTTTTTTAACTTAAGTTTAATTTTGTCTTAACATAGAAACAAACCAAAACAAACACTTCTGTGGTTAACTTTTGAAGTTTGTATTTTCTAAATTAAAAGTACTTTCCCCCACTTTATTAAAGAGAATATAGTTTTGAATACATTCTTTTGTGAAATACGGTTTGAAGATCCATTTATATGTTGTGATAAAAGTGTGATTTATGTAATAGGGATGTGGACCAATGTTTCTACCTTGATGAGAATACTGTTCTTAAGAATTTGAAACTCCAGTGAGCTAATATTTGAAATTATATTTAAATAGTTGAACAGATAGAACTTTTCAATTTTGTGATTTAAGCAGACAATAGTTGTTTGTTTCCAAGAAAACTGTTAGCTGTCTGCATTCACAAAAAAAGTATAACAAAATTCCCAAAGACAAGGAAAAAAATAAAGCTAAGCAGAAATTTATTTTGATTAGAAAATGGTTTATATTCAATGCTCACTAATGTGTTCTAAAGACTTCAGTGAATGAGCAAGGTTATAGTTCATTTGTAGATATGGTACAATCATAACCATCTCCTCAGCTTTTTTCTTCATAAATTTAGAAGTGTCTTCTAGTTCTCTATATATATTTTTGGAATAATAAATATTTTCCTACTGCTTCATTCTAGGCATTGAAGAAGCAAGAAGCTAAAGCAGATGAGAATGAGGGAGTAATGAAAAATAAGTTAAGACAAACTGAAACTGAGAAGAATCAAGTAAGAAAGTTATCTTTCAAAAAGTAATGTTGTTTGGGGCCCATGATGTTTCTTGAGTTCCTTGAAAAGTTTCCTGAGATCATTTTAGGACACCGTGCAGTCTTTGGGTTCAATTTCCAGGTGGAGTCATTTGGCTCAGTCGCTCTGCTGTGGTCTGCTGCTTGGTCTTGGGAGCATTGGAAGAGCTGTCTGTTGAGCAGGCCACTGCTCCTTTTCTAGAGGAGCGATAAACTTTATCGTTCCTTGCTGGAGAACACTTGAAGAGCTTGACTTTGCTCCAGGGCTAGAAAGCCATGCTGTTTAATGACTGACTACTTGGATGTATGCCTTTTCATGATAAGATAGGCATAGTTGCCGCCTGGTTATGAAAAGTCCTCTGTCTCGATACACATTAAGATTTTTTTATTTAAAAAATTTTTTATTTTATATATTTTTGTATCACTGTTCAGTTTGTATAGTGTATGCTTTTTCATCTCGGCTGTACTCCTCATGGACATCCCCCCCTCCAATTCACCCGTGTGCCATCACTGCAGACCCTTGTGCTCTTCCACCCTTGTTCTGATCCTACTCCCTTCTCCCTACTCTGAAGAATGTCTATGGTTTATAGTTGATCATATTAATGACTTGACATATATTTGCATATATGAACCTGTGGAGTTTATTACTTTAGAGTCAGGAAGGAATTCAGAGACCAAACATTTCTTAGCTTTCACAGGAAAAGGTTTAAGCAAGAACCCTAGGTAATGAATGACAATAAAGGGAAAATTTGCTGTGATATAAGTTTTGTTTTCGTTTCTTTTTCTATTTTCCATTACCTCCTTTATGCCAAGTTATGTGATGCTTTCATGCTACTTTTATGATAAGCGAGGTTTTGTAGGTCCTCAAATTTGCCCTGTGAGAGCTGAGACTGCGCGTAAGACCCAGGGAACATGACTGCTGTGGGCCTTGGTATATTATGAAACCATATTGACTGAGGGGTGATTTATTTGCTCTTTATTTCTACATAAAAACAAGGCACAGGTCAGATCATATTTTTGTGGCTTCTGTGGTTCCATCTGTACGTGCCTTTTTTCATAGGACATTAATATGTGATCCACACATACAGTTTTACAAGATTGTTTGGATTAAGAAATTTAATTTGAAATAATTATAGATTCATACAGTGTTGTGAAGCAAAATGTAGCACATTCTTACCATGCGCCTTATAGTCAGTTTCCCTCCATGGTAACATTTTTGCATATAACAATATGTCTAATTACAACAATAGGAAATCGACATTATTAGAATCCACAGAGTTTGTACAGATTCTGTGGGATTTGTGTACACTCACTTGTGTGTTGTGTGTTTGTGTATGCCGCCTGTGAGCTGGCACTATGTGGGATGAAGGGAAGAGTCCACCTAAAATGAAAAAGTGAGGCCCCACTCAATGGGCAGTCTTGTATTTATTTAAAACCAGGTTCAGAGAAGATGGACAAGTATATGGAGGAATGTGCATGTGTGGGGTGCATTATGGGGCTGTGTTATCATCTGGTACGAGCTGGGATGGAGTGACCCAGCGCTGTTTTTTTTAGGGGTGGGGGTTTCATAATTCCCGCTAATTGAAGCATACTATCTCTCATCCTAGTCTACCTAATTTTCTGCTAATCTTTACAAGTAAGGTATTCTAGCTGACCTTGCTAATCTGGCCATAATGTCTGCTGTTTTCAGCAGACACTGGTTTCCCAGCTTGTTCCTTCTACTAGGTCTTTTACCCTGCTTAGCAGTCCCCTGCCAGATTCTACGTTTTAGCTTGACCACCAGGAACTCTGGGTACCGAGACAGTAGCCCAGAGAACAAAGGTATCTGGAGATTCCACCTGTGCATATGTGTAGTTACATACAATTTTATTTCAGTCTAGATTCATGTTACCACCATCACAATCAAGATACAGAACTGTTCTATCACCTTAATGCTCCTTTCTCAACTCATCGATAGTCATACCTACCGCATGTTCATTTTGTAGAAGACGAATATATAGTCTCTTTAAATGAGATAAAAATTTAAGATAACTACTACAAATCTAGGCTTTTTTTTTAAAGATTTATTTATTTATGCATACAGAACTGAGGTACAAGCCAGAGGTGTGGGGTGGTGAAAGTCTTCCCCGGAGACTGAGTGGGGAGCAGAACAGGCAGATTGATGAAGTACACTGCTGAGGGAAGCAGCGGGCATGTCAGGAGAGGTCTGTCGCACTATGTGGATCAGCTCCAGGGCTGGGAAGCAAACCCACACTGAAGTGGCTGCAGCTGGCTTCCAGTGCCGTATACTAACTGGTTGCACCACCAGGGAGCACAAAATATAAGCTTTTAACAACATGTTGATATAAACTTATGATTTCACAAACAATCTTACTGTTAAAAAATATAAACATGTTTAGGATATATAAGCTCTAGACTTCTAACAAATTTCTATCCTGGTATACTTTTCAACTTGAAATAATTTAGGCATACTCAGGGTATTCAGTCACCTATCTGACACATTTTTTGTGGATGTTTATCTAACATCATTATTATTAAGGAGATGCTTAATGTTTTATTCTAAGTTCAGATAATTTAGTAATATCAATATTAGGAATAATAGGGATATAGTAATATTACAATATATGAAATAAATTCAATGAAATATTCTTTGTGTCATTATGTGTCTGATGTTTTTATTGTAATTCAGTTCATATATTACCTGTACTAATTAAAAGAAAAAATAATTTAAACTTTAGATTAAAATAACTCAGAACTGGAAAGAATTTCCAAAGTTGTCCTATGTAAGACCCTTCTGAGTGACAGAATAGAGGCCTACGATAAAGAGATTTAAAGAGGGTCACAGTTGGGACTGACTAGAAGTCAGATCTCTTGAGATCTGGTTTACTTAATGTTGTACAATTAACATTATTTTAATGGAAATAATCATAGGTGCTATTTGTTTTTTCACTTTAATTGTAAACTTTCTGGAGCTTTCCACTTTTCTTCAGTTAAACTGTACCCATAATAATTTAGTTATCTTCTGCCCCTTTAGACGTTTTTCTTTATCCTTTGTTGAAACTCTAGCTTGCACAAGAATTGGAGCATTCTCGAAGGCTATTGAATCAGTCAGAAGGCAGCAGAGAAACACTTTTGCATCAGGTAAGTTTATGCAAGCTATGATAATTTATTTTTAAATTAAATCAGGATTGAATCCCCTACTCTATAAATGTCTTGTGAAAGGAAAATTATCTAGGTCTAGAAAAATTTTCTCAAGGAGTGTATATTAGCATACATAAGCAGAAAGGAAATCCTTTCAGGAAGATTCAGAGAATGCTAGTACATAAAGCAGCAGTCCAACTTCCTGCTGTGACAGTATCTTTCACTGCTGCTGTTAATATAAGCAATGTAGAAGTGAGACTGGATGTGTAAGATAAAGTTTTCCTAGGAGCTTAATTTTATTCAAGGAATCATGGGACAGAAAAGTTGGGAAAACATAAAACACCTTTGCAAGTTCAGGTTACTTTGAATGTATCATAATCTTATATTCATGTTTTCAAGATGCTTATTGTCCTCCTTTAATTAACAATAGGCTTTTTTTTTTTTTTAAGATTTATGTATACAGAACTGGGTACAGACCAGAGGGAAGGGGGTGGGGGTGGGGGTGAGAGGATTCACCAGGGACAGAGAGGGAACAGAACAGTCAGATGGACTGAAATATACTGCCGAGGAGAGCAGTGGGTGAGACAGGAGAGGTCTGCTGTGCCACGTGGGTCACCTCCCTGGCTGGGGCTTAAATTCATGCTGCAGTGGCTGCACACAGCTTCATAGTGCTGTGCTCTAACCTGTTGTGCCATCAGGGAAGGCCCAACAATAGGCTTATTTTTAAAGGACAGTATTTTGTAGTTCATTAGCCCATAATGACAGTTGAGTGCTTTTGATCCTTAAAGTTGGATAATGGGTAATAGTCCTCTTATGTGCATTGGAGAAAGGCGTATGATTTTCTAAACTCCCTCTACCTTTGTTTAATGTTAACTGCAACTGAATTTTCTTCTTTCTTGAGGTGCGAATTACATAACTTTCTACATAATAATTTGCTAGGTAGGCAAAGATGACAGGTATCAAGATATTCAGAAGGAGTATTACATTTGACAATTAGTGTTGAAAATACATCACAGCTTCTGTTTTACAAAACCTTTAAAATTGGTCATTGCCTTTGTTCTGCAGTCAGTGGTTACATGAAAATAATGTTGGCAGAATTCAGACATTTTTGGGGAAGTTTATATTAGTACTGTTTCATGCTGATTTTTTTTTTTGGAACTCTTATATGTAATCTCTGATTTTAATCTATGAAACAGATTTCTGTGTTGAATTTATCTTGTGATTTTTAAATGCCTTTTTGCCAGTATTAAGTTGTTTAACAATGTTGAGGACATATTTGCCATGTGCTGGGCAATTTGACAGTCTCTAGAAATAACAAAGATGAATGAAACAGTATATTTCTCTCAGCAGCATTTATTATTTATATATTTTGAGCAATATCTTGATGTGAAAATATCCTACATCATGTTCATTTTACCTGAATTTATCAGTCAGTAGAACATGATTACATGAAAGAATACATAAAGAATATAAAGACATAATTTTTAAGTTATAGGTGATTTGGGTTAATATTAATGGAGAGAACTGAGATTTTAAAAATGTGATCAAATTCTTTGTCAGAATAGACACAGGGAAGAGGAAAAAGCCAACTGTGGAGGAATGGGATTCATAAAGAAATGGAACACAAGACTTCCACTCTGCTTGGCATATCAGGGAGATTAACTTGTCTTCAACCAGATTTCTACTAACCCATTAGTAATAAAATTTTTTCCCAGTAAAATACTTTGTAATTGTTTTTTCTCTGCTTCGTTTTATTCTTGATAATGTGATTTTAGGTAGAAGAACTCCGTACACAGCTTATGAAAGCAGGAGATCGAAAAGGTTTACAGCAGCATCAAGGATCTCAGATTTCCAAGCAACAGTCAAGCCATCAGGATGAACAAGGAGATGATTGGAGGCTTAGGAGAGGTATAAATCTGAATTCTGAGTGTGTGGGTTTTTAAAAAAAATCTTCATTAAATACTTCTCATTTTCAGAATTGCTTTCCTTATGTTATATTCTTGTCATCCTATGTAGTCAGTTACTACAAGATTTTCCAATGGTGTGATTATAATGTAGTGTCCAATTTTTAAACATAGTCTTCATGTTTTAGTTTTATGTTGACAGTAATATTGAGCAAGGTGTAGACATTTCCCTTTTGCCCCTGCTCAATAGAGTGGTATATTTCTAAGCAATGCAATGAGCCAAAGTCCATATTTTACATTAGGGTCAGTCAGCATAGTGTATTCTATGGGATTGGACCTAGATAATGGCATGTAGCCTCTGTTAGTTTCCCTAGATAATGGCATGTATCTTCTGTTAGTTTCCCTGCCCTTATATTCCTTCATATTCTGCTTCTGCCTTCACATCCAGTCCTGGCAACCACTGATCTTTTCATGGTCTTGATGGTTTTGCCTTTTCCAGAACCTCTTATAGTTGAGATTATACAATGTGTATTTTCAGATTGATTCCTTCCACTTAGAAATATACCTTCAAGTTTTCTTCATGACTTCTCATGGTTTGGTAGCCTTTTTTTTTTTTTAAAGCAAGGAGTGGATTGTTCATTCACCTACTGAAGGCCATTTTGGTTGCTTCCAAGTTTTGACAGTTATAAATGCTACTACTATAATCTAAACAAATGTGTAGATTTTTGTGTGAACATAAGTTTTTACCTTCTTTAGGTAAACACCAGAAAGCATGAATGCTGGATCTTATCTTTAGTTTCAGAAATATTCCAAACTGTCTTCTATAGTGCCTATATCATTTTGCATTCCACCAGCAGAGAATGAGTGTTCCTATTGCTTCATATCCTTGTCCTCATTTGCTGTTAGTGCTCTGGATTTTGGCCTTTTTAGTAGATGTGTTGTAATATCTCCTTATAAGTTTTAAATTTATATTTCCCTGATAACATATGATGTGGAATATTCTTTTCATATGTGTATTTGCTATCTGTTTATCTTCTTTGGTAAGATGTTAAGGTTTTTGGCCCACTTTATATTGGGATTGTTTGTTTTCATATTGTTGACTTTTGAGAGTCCTTGCATATTTTGAATAATAGTTCTTTGTCAGATGTCTTAGCAAATTACTTCTCATAGTCTATGAGTTCTTTCCATTTTCTTTGCAAAGTCTTCTGCAGAGTCAAAGTTTTTAATTTTAAAGTAGTTACTTTATTAGTTCTTTTGGGAATAGTGTCATTGGTGTCATATCTAAAATGTAATCACAAAACCCAAGGTCACCCAGATTTTCGTCTATTTGATCATGTACGAGTTTTGTAGTTTTACATTTTGCATTTAGGTCTGTGATCCAGTTTGAATTATCTTTTGTGATGGTGTGACTGTAGATTAATTTTTTTTTTTTGCACATGGGTGTCCAGTTGTTTTAGCACTATTTGTGGAAAAGACTTACTTTTTCTCCATTATATTATATCATCATCTTTGTCAAAGAAAAGTTGACTGATTCAACTTCTGTGCTCTCTATTCCAGTACATTGTCTATTTTTCACCAATATCACTGTTTTAATTACTATAACCTTATAAGTCTTGAAGTTGGAGAGTGCACTCTTTTAACATTATTCTTCCCCAAGAATGCTTTGGCTCTTCTGGATCTGTCCATATAACTTTAGATTCCATTTGTCAATATCCACAAAATAATTTACTGGGATTTTGATTGGTACTTATACATACAAGAACTGGGGTGTAGGCTAGAGGTGTGTGTGGGGTAAGAGGAGTCACCAGAGACAGAGTGGGGATCAGAACGGGTAGCTCTACTGAAAGACACTGCTGAGGGGAGCAGTAGGCAGTACAGGCGAGGTCTGCTGCATCATATGGGTCAGCTCCGTAGTTGGGGATCGAACTCATGTCCTAGTGGCTGGTGATAGCTTGGTAGCACTGAGACTTTAACCCATCCTCCACCAGGGAGGCCCAGGTTGAATTCTTAACTGTTACACCATAGACCTATCACTGTAGCAAGTATTCTTCAAGATGGAGAGCTAAAATAATCTTTTGGTTGTGGAGAATAGTTGTAACATTATTTATATTTTATACATGATGTATTTTAAGTTTGGTAACTGTTTAATTCCCTATGTATATGTATTTATATAAGTATCCCCATACTCATATTTTATATGTATCTATTATAAAATATACCAAAATAATATATCTATACCAACTGTATTTCCTAAAGATCACATATATGTACTTACATACATATTCATATGTGTTAATATCTCCACATTTTATATAATATAGTCATATTACTGTTATTTTATGTATGTTTCTATTCTGAGGTTATATATTATATATTATCATGAATCATGTAATGCATAATTTCAGGTTGGAGACCTTGGGATAGACAAAATACTGCCGATTGGCTAAATCCAGACTGTAACTTATTTATAGAACAGCTACTCTGTATATGTATGCACATTCTAGTTAGTTTTTTCAAAAGAATGGCAGAGATGAATAGTTGAGACAGAGATCCTGTCACAAATATTTACTATCTGTCCCTTCATTGAAAATGCTTGCTAACTCCTGCCTGTAATTTCTAAACTTCCTGGAAATTTATGTACTCATTGCTGACTCTCAGTCTCTGTCATGTGCTAACTTTATGGAAATAGTGTGTGTATAATTATCTGTATATTAAATTTACTTTTATATCCTTGTACTTTATACTGTTTCCTCTTCCCTAAAATATCACTCCTAACCGTATCTTGCTTTACTTGGTGAAATTTTGTGTCCATTCTTTAAGTCTTAGTTTCCAATTTTTCTTTCTTCACTTTATTACCAAGACACTCTTTTACTGTTTCTTTATAATAACCATTATATAATACAGTCTCTGTCAGTGTTGTTATTCTCTATTGAAATGCCTGTTTCTTTCTTCCAGTATGTACAATTTTAAACACTTTAACATTTCTAAGTTAGGGATATGTCTTACAACTAGTCCATAAATTTGATTTGTCAGTGTTTTCTTCCTTTTCTGGAAAGGAAAATGCTAGACAAACAATAGTTTTAAATTGATAGTATATGTTCCAATTTTTGGCATCGTAGACTCACAAAAGTAATTTATTTATATGACTTGTATTGTTTCTTGAAGTTCAGGCTCACTGGAAAAGGGTTTTTGCGTTACTTTGAATAAAATGGTATTACAGCACATCATAGGCCAATGACTTTTTTTCTCTTTTAAGTCTTTAAATTTTTATTTGATAGGTCATTTGGGAGAGCTCTAGACTGAAGTACCTTTTAGTGAAGTATTGTTAATTTTGGACAGTATAGGTGACCTGCAATGTGGTCACCGTAGTTCACCACCAAAACCCTCTTGTGCTTTCCTGTAGTCCTTTGTGTTCTTTGCTCCCCGATTCCACCCTTTCCATTTTTCCTTACTCTCCCCTTCTGGATGTCTCAGATCTATAACTAGATTTCTAGTTTTATCTTTGTCTGACCGTTTGTTTTGTCTCTCTGTATTCCACTTAGAAGGAAACCATGTGATATTTATCTTTTTTCCTTCTGACTTTTTTCATTTAGCATTAAATTATCCCTTCCAGTCCCATCCATTTTGCTACATATAACATGGTTATCTTTTTGGATAGCTCAGTATTATTCCATTATGTATATACATCACATCTTCCTGTCCTTTCAGTTGTTCTGGGGCATTTGGGTTGTTTCCATATCTTGGCTATTATAAATAGTACTCTAGTAAACGTAAGAGTGAATTAATTCCTTTAGAATTAATTTTTTGATGTATTTGGGTAGATTCCTAGAAATGGAATTGCTGGGTTATATGACAAATCCAATCTTAGTGTTTTGAGGAACCTTCACACAACTTTTCATATTGATTGGCTGGGCCAGCCTGTACTCCCCCCAAAAGAGTTTGAGGGCTCCTTTTTCTCTATATCCTCACCAGCATTTGTTGTTCCTGTTTTTTTAAGTATGTGCCAGTCTGATAGGTGTGAGGTGATGTCTCACACCTGTGGTTTTATTTGCATTTTCCTGATGGTAAGTAATGAACACTTTTTCATTTGCCTTTTTTTGCCATTTGTATCTTATTTGGGGAAATGCCTATTTAGCTCTTACACTAAATTGGGTTGTTTTGTTTTTGTTGAGTTGTATGAGCTCTTTGTAGATATTTTATATCAGACTCTTTTTAGATGTATGGTATGCTAATTTTCTCTCATTCAGTAGGGTGTGTCTTTGTTTTGGTTGTGGTCTTCTTTTGCCATTCAGAAGCAGCCTTTTAGTTTAATGTAGTCCCGCTTATATTCCTCTGTATTTTCTTTGCTGCTGGAAAAGAGACTTCAAAGATATTTCTGAAGTTTATGTCATGAAATGTTGCTTCTGGAATCACCAAACACCCCCAACATCCAGAGTTCTCCTTATTAAAAAGCGGGGAAATGGGAGTATTGCACTTCCAAGTCAAACTATAATATGAAGCCATGATAATTAAAAAGGCAGGATTTTGGAACAAAACCAGATACATAGCAATGGAATAGAATTGAGAGTCCAGAAATAAAAGCACACATATGTGGTCAACTAATATATAACAAAAGAGCATACTCTGGAACAACAAAAGTCTCTTCAATAAATGGTGCTGGGAAAATTGGACTGCCGCATGCAAGAGAATGAAACTAGAAAATTTCACACCCATACATGAAAACCAGCTCAAATGGATAAAAGACTTGGAATTAAGACCAGGGATTTCATGTTGCATTAAAAACTGAGTCTACTTATGTTGATCAGTGATATAATTTCAGGTGACTGTCTCCAGAATCAGAAAGCTAGTGGTGGTACACCATGAGAGACCTTAACAACATCATTTATGTATATTGTAAGAAAAACAATTCATTGTGTGAACTTCAATAATTTCAGTTGGAACCACTTTATTGAAAATTCTTTCATTATTTTTGTTTTAAAGTTTGGAGGGAATGTAGGCATATAGGAAAGTTAAAACAAACAAAACCATGTAGGATTTTCCTACCTGGTTTTATAAACCATAAAGCACTTTGTTTTCATATCAATGGCATAATTTTGAATGACATTTAAAAAACTGTGAGACTTGAAACAATAGACAGGCAAATTCAGAAATGTTTTTGTGTGTGTCTGTGACTAATAAGTTACTTATCTGGAATATTAAAACACCAATGCTTTGTACCATTTGAAAGCACGTGACCTGTGAATAAAAAGCAATACTTAAGCTTTACATTTTCTCTTTTAAGGGATTGAGCAGGACAAAGTGGATCTGGAGAAGCAGATGTCAGATTTGAAAGTGCAGCTGAACTTCAGTGCAATGGCATCTGAGTTAGAGGAGGTGAAGCGGTGCATGGAGCGAAAAGACAAGGAGAAGGCACACTTGGCGGCACAGATAGAGGTGACTTTAATTTTTTTTTTTTAAGATTTATTTATGCATACAGAACTGGGGTATAGGCCAGAGGTGCAGGGGCTATGAGCGGATTCACTGGAGACAGTGGGGAGCAGAACAGGCAGACTGACAAAGTACACTGCACCTAGGTCGGGAGAGGTCTGCAGTGCCAATGTGGGTCACTCCCGCCAGGTAGGGATCGAACTCATGTGAACTTCTCAGTGTGGTGCTAAACAGATACAGAGGAGGTCTGATACATATCTATTTCTATTCCTGCTTGATCTAATTTGCATAATTATAATTGGAATTAAACCATTGGTACTTAAAGCAGTAAAATTGTATAATCCCAAGAAAATATTTAATTTTATTCCAGCCTGAGTTTCTCTTTTATCTTGTCAGCATTTCAATAAAAATTATACTTTAGATTTTTTTCAGGATTCAGATTGTAAGGAAGATGAAATATTGACAGACTATAAAGCCTTCTACATATAAATACCTATATATAAATACCCGCTGTGCTACCAGAAAGGGCCCAACTTTGCTGTTTTTTAAGCCACTTTCAAAGAACTTCAGCTTGTTTCATAAAATTACTTAATGAAATTATTAAGATTGTGGTATTTTATGAGCTCTAGTTTGGGTCTATAAAATGTAACGTTATCTCTAATTATATATATATGGAAATTTTACAGATTCAGTTCTCTTTCACTTTTATCTCAAAGCTGGGAACCTGTTAAACTTGAGTATATTTTTGTTGTAATAGCAGTTGACCCCGTCTCTGAAGAAACAGTAATTTGGAAGGTAAAACTGGTAGAAGACATAGTCAAATGGTATTACTGGTATTTCTTTTTTGGAACCATAACATTGTAAAATCTTGAGCTGTTTTGCATGAGGTAGAGTATGATGCCACCAGCACATATACAGTTGTGTGGGAATCATGAATGACGTGGGAACCATGAATGGAGTGTAACTAGGCAGCTGCCCTTCCCTGCTTGCCTTTTATCTAGCACAGATGGGGTAATTACCAGCAAATATTAAAAATCAAAGGAGAGAACTTCATAAAAAGGAAATGGTTTAATTCCAATTATAATTATGCAAATTAGATCAAGCAGGAATAACACATTTGGAAATAGATCTGTATCAGCCCTCCTCTGTATCTGTTTTTATTAGTGAAGTTGTGTTTTAATTGTGATAGGTTATCACATTTGAAGAGTTTGCTAAATTATAATGAAAGGTAGAAAATTGGTACTTAAAGCAGTAAAATTGTATAGTCCCAAGAAAATATTTAATTTTATTCCAGCCTGAGTTTCTCTTTTATCTTGTCAGCATTTCAATAAAAATTATACTTTAGATTTTTTTTCAGGATTCAGATTGTAAGGAAGATGAAATATTGACAGACTATAAAGCCTTCTACATATAAATACCTACGTTTAACAGATACTTATCAGAGCTATGACTATTGTGGGATTTTTAAAGTTTGCTTTATAGATGTTATTTTAGCCCTCAATCCTGTTGACAGAAGTACTAAAGTATGATTATTTTACCAAAGTCAATTATTTGTTAAAATATTTCCTAATTAATATTAAAGATAGACAGTTCTTTTGCTAAGCTGCTTACTACCACATTTTGGTCTGTCTTTCTTCCATCACTCCTTTCCTTCTTTCTCCTCTTCCTCCCCATTATTTCTTTCCATTTACCACTTGTGAGCTAAACTGTTAAAAAAAAAAATCTCAAACAGCTAGGCTTTTAAAAATGACTGATTAATGACCCGATATTGCTCTCACTCAAAGAACCTGCCGTTCCTGTCCATACTAAATAGACTTGTGTTTTTGCAAGTGAAAAATTGCAATTCTCTTGGGCTAGTTTAGATTGTTTGTGTAGGTTTGGATTTAAAAGTAATTGGAAAAAAGATGTACATTTACTCACATATCAAATACTTATTGACTGTCTATTATAACATGCTAGCTACTGTTCTAGTGCCTGATGACATGCAATGAACAGAAATCTATCATATTTTCCTGTTCCTATTCAGGTGACATTCTGAAATTGATGCCAAAAGTTATTGAAATTTTGTCTCCATTTTAGGGTCAAGTTTCATTCCTAGAATAAATCACCATTAACCTGTTGTGTTTTAATCTGATTTTCTTATTTTTAACAATAATTTGTTTCATTAATTAAATTTGTATCAGTTGTTGTAGATTTTGTTACATTTCTGATTATGGTTTGCATATTTACCTAACTTATATGAGCCCTTTGAGTACACTTTTTTTTTTTTAAGCTTTGACTAGAAGTATAGATTTTGTGAACTATATGGGTAAAGGTCAGCTGCTAACATTTGAAAATTTTATTGAAATTTCATTAAAAAGCAATTAGCTTCTGTTTGTTTTTAAGAAAAAATTAGGTAGCCTAGGTTGTTGACTTATGTATTCTATAAAAAATTGGGATTAATCTATTAGTTACTTGTTAGATACCAAGTGTGACTAAGCAAAAATGTACAAAAGGAGGCTGGTTTTTGGTCAGGTCCAAGAGTATTTATATAATAACACTTATTATGACATCTACATTTTCTTTCTCTTTAGCCTCAACTTTCTGACAAATCTCCTATTGAACATCATGTACAGTCTTGTTCAATAATTCATTTTCTCTGAAACTTCCTTACTAATTTCCATCTTTTTGTGTGTTCCAGTTGTTCACTTGTTCTGTAATATCTTCTTTTTGTAGAAATCCTAAACCTTTTCTCCTGTGACACTCCTGGATTGTATCAATTATGAGTGAAAATCCTTCCTTCAGAATCACTCCTTTGATCACAAACACAGAAACTTCTCTTTCTCTCTCTTTGAATTGAGTAACATTGGTTCTATCACTGTTTATGGTTTATGGGACAGGCTCATAGTCCTGAGGTGAACCCTACCTCTTATGATACTTTTATCACCTGACCTTAAAATAATCCATATATTTCTCCTTAAAGTATATGAATTTCAAAATGCATCAAAATACTGAGAAAAGCAAATTACAAAAGAAAACTGACTGTCCCCAAAATAAAACTACCTTGATGATGTCAGTATGTTTCAAGGTGTTAGCCTCACATCTGAAGACTTGAATTTTCTGCGTCCTGGATTTAATGTGATGGTTCTTTTAGTAATGAAACTCATAAAAGAACAGTATATAAAAGAGTGCTAGTTCATTGATTTATCCCATAGGAGTTCTGGATAATTAAATATATTCTCCTATGCAGGGCATGAATCTCTCAGTTTTCTCCACCTCGGTTCTAGAAAACCGAATTACTAACAAAAGAATTATATGGTACACATGGTCAGAAAATAAAATTTAAAGAATTGTTTGTAAATGTCTATGGTGAGGCTCCCCTGCGATCCACTTCTCTTCCATGGAAGTCATGTGTACATAGATCCTCCTTATTTAACCAAGATTTCTGTCTTTCTGGAGGGAGTTCAGCTGACGTCTTTGTTTTTCTGACACTCCTCTGGTTTGCTTCTACTGATGCTGTTCTTTCTTTTCTTTAAAAAAAAAAAAAAATATATATATATATATATATATATATATTTGTTTATGCATACAAGAACTGGGGTGTAGGCCCGAGGTGTGGGTGTACAGGAATGAGAGGATTCACCAGAGACAGAGTGGGGATCAGAACAGGCAGATTTACTGAAATCCACTGCTGAGGGGAGCAGCTGGTGAGAAAGAAGAGGTCTTCTGTGCCATGTGGATTTGTTCCTTGGCCTGGGATGAAACTCACGCTGCAGTGGCTGCTTATAGCTTCATAGTGCTGAGGCTTAACATCTTACATCACAGGGAGACCCCATTTTCTTTTGTTATGTTGTTATGCACAGATTATTCTGGGCCATTTACCAGTATGTAATCATGTTACAACTCAAACTTGTGTTCTAGGGGTCACTCGGGAGTTAAAGTCATGTTCCCGCGCGGGTATGTCATCAATGAGTATGAATTCAAATTTTGTGTCACTTTGTGCCCTCAACTCTGTTGTATCCTTTAGGCGTATGTTAAATATGTTAATACTTGTGGATTGAAATAATATATTATAGAAGGCTTTCATAGTTACTTTGAAAAGCTATTATCTATTGTCCATCCAATTCTTAAAAACACATTAATTTCTCAAAGAGCTGATGGTATTTTAGAGAACTTTTGCTTTCTCTCACTAATTGCATTAATCTTGTTGATCTAGAACATATATTTTAAGCATCTGTTTTACACTGGGGTAAAACAGTGAAAATAACTTGTAAAAAAACATGAAAAACTACATTTAAGTTTGCATAATTTATCTTGCAAATTGTATTAAGACCTTAAATCTGTATATGCATAGAAAATACAAACTGCTTTTTTTTTCTTCTTCTAAACTTGAGTTGAACCTCATTAACCTTGATAGGCTATTTGTATTCATAAGATTTCCAAGCATCCTTGATCAATGATTCCCCCTGATTTAATCTTAGTCTCCATTTTCCATCAACTTACTCTTCTTGAAAAAAACATTTGACTTTTAAATTCAATGAAGAACTTCAAAGAAAGAAAAAACTAGGTGCAGCACATAATTTAGATTAAATGTTGAAAGTGATAATTGAGTGACAACTGACATGATTTGATTATTCATTAGCAGAAATTTTGGACTGTAGTGCCAGATTTACTTTTAAAGAGAAAGAAGGTAGTAGAAAGCAGATATAATAATATTTTTAGAGTGATTACTACAGTAGAAACAGGAGGTTGTTTCTGTTACTGTCATTTTGACATAGACTTTTGTGATTCTTCATTTCTACATAAAGTTGGCCACTTTGCTATTCAATAACGTCCCTATTCATAACTACTCTTAAGCTTTTAGAGAGCTGCTGTTTTAGAGTTTTTAATTATCAGGTCTGTAATTTCCTATTTTACTTCTTTTCTTAATCTTAGTAATTCCTTCCTTATCTAAGTGTGTGTCGTAAAATAGGGGATTTTTTGATACTAGGTAATTTTTATGTACTCAAATTAGATTACAAGGAAAA